CACTGGTGGAGGGATGCGTATTTGATCATTGTGTGATTACAACTCAAATATGAAAGCTTGCAACTATACCTCACGATGATTCAATAAAAAAATAAAAATAAATTTAAAAAAGTACTGTAGCACTGTAGTACTGTCTTCCCCTTGTTCATGGATTTGCTCGAGCGGACCCAGTAACATTGTGAGACTTGCTGTTACTGTGTTTGGCATATCGAATACGTCACAGGTAGCTTGCCAGGCTTTGCCCTGCGGGCAAGATATTCTCGGTAGCTTGTCGGGCTCTCTAAGAGGGTGGAGGAATTGAATTCGGGTCAGCCAGATTGGCTGCATGCAAGGCAAATGCCCTCCCACTGTGCTATCACTCCAGCCCAAATGAAAAAAGAAAAAAAAATTAGACAACTTATATGATGGCAATTCACAGATGAGTAAAATGCCAATAAAACATTAAGCAGGTCAGCCTCACTACTGACCAGAAAAATTCAAATTAAAGTGAAGCACTTCATATCTGTAAGATTGGCAAAAATCTCTTCAAAGGAGATCATGTCAATCTAGTCAATGTGTATGTGAAAATGATGCTAATCTTACTGAGACTAGGAAAGGTAAAACCATTTCATTCTGGGCAGTCAGATAGAAGCAAGTAGCCTTTCAAATGAATGTGCTCTGTACAAAAGTAATTCTTCTATGCATACTGTCAAAATACAGAATGCATAACAATACTTCTAAGGATGCTGACTGCAACCTTGTTCATAAGAGCACAGAGTTGGTCAGAAAACAAACATCATCAGCTAAAAAAATACGAATTATCCACAACATAGAATGACAAAACATAAGGCTACGCTCATTTATATATGCGTGAAGAAACTGCTAGAAGCACACGTGCCCACTTGTTAACAATGTTATTCTAGGAACTTGGGGGGCAAAGTGAGCAAGATATGCCTTGCTCATTGTATACTGCTGCACTTTTTTTAACAGGAAAACTTTTGTCATTAAAAACAAATAAAAAGTATAAAGGAACAATGTGATTGCTTTGCTCATTTGCCATACAGTGGTTCGCTCAGGAGAAGCACAACAAAGTGACCTGAGTAGTAAAGAAAAGCTTTGCAGGTCTCACCTGTCACAACAAGGAGGAAAAGGCCCAGGACCTAGGAGCCTGACTTATGTCACAGGTGCCTGGAACACCACAGAAAGAAGAATGCATCCCACCATGAATTCACACCACCAAAGGCACTGCAGGGAAAGTGGCAGTACCTAGGTCAGGCAGTCAGTTTCGGGAGTTGTGGTTTGAATGAGAAGGAGCCACTGAAGTGTCCTGAACAGGATGAGAGGTGGGAGGTGATGCAGTCTCCTAGACAGAGCGGCAAGGGCGGTTAAAATAAACAAGGACCAGGAATGTACAGCAAGTGGTAGAATGCACGCCTTGCACGTGTGAGGCTCCAAACTCAATCACTGACAATGCAGCAAGCCCCACCCCACCCACAGCAAGTAGGTGAGTCTAGAAGTGGCCCCAATGCATCAAGCACCACGGCCCCCACAACAATTTTGTTTAGAATTTTATTTAAAAGGAGGGCATCAATTAGTTCAATTAACACACATATATCCTACCCCAAGCCTTCTGCCAAGGATTAAAGAGCTGAACTTGGCCAAACTCCCTCCTTGGGTGTTTCCTGAGAAGACTAAGTACACCCCAAAAGAACAGAACTAGGTGTGTTTGTGAGGTTGAAGGACCCTAGAGAAAACTAAGGAGAGGGACAACTCATACTGGTGAACCAAAGCTGAGTGAGTTTTGGGAGCCTGCAAGCGTAAGCCAGGTACATAAACAGACCTACCAGGGCTATCAGATCCATGACTGAAGACAGAGGGCAAGAGAGAGGAGATGGGCATGGTAAGATGACTACAGGGAGATAGAGGAAAGCAAGTCTTTAGGAAGTGGGAGTCATTTAGGATGACCTCCCAAGTGGACGTGGTGTTTCCTGAGAAGACTAAGTACACCCAAAAAGAACAGAACTAGGTGTGTTTGTGAGGTGAATAATTAATATAATTAATATAGGAATGGGGGGAGGGAGGGAGGGAGGGAGGGAAGTAGGGAAGGAGGGAGGGAGGGAAGGAAGGAAGGAAGGAAGGAAGGAAGGAAGGAAGGAAGGAAGGAACCATCACTGGTGTAAAACATTCATGCATATAATAAAATTATTTTATCTCATTCACATTTCATTTTTGTCAGAAGAAAATCTTAATAAGCACAGCTGAATAAAAACAGAATTAAAAGCTACATAACAGCCTTTCTTAAAGTACTTTGCATGTTCATCTATGTCATACATATTTGACACAAGAGATTATCCATTTTTCTGAGTTGGTGATAATATGTTCAATCTCAAAGGCATACAAGAATTCAAAATTCTTGGCTAAATCTCTGATTTCATCTACCTGTTATGCTATATTCATCAGAAAATCAAAGCATCTAACCCTCTCAGCAGGAGTTGGACATGTGCCCTGCCAACTTCCTGGGGCTTCTACAACAAGGTTTTGCTGGGTAAGACACTTCCAGATAGGCATCAGAGAAAGGAACACCTGAATTTGAACACCTGAATTTGAACACCTCTAGTACTGGGCAAATGATTTTCTTTCCTCCTAGCTTTACTGAAGATGGTTGACAAATAAACATTATATAGTTTGAACTGATACTATGTGATTTTTGTAAGATTATAGGATGATTTAATGTTTGTATACATTGTGAAATGCTTATTACTACAATCAGGTTAATTTACAGACCCATCATTTCACACACAGTAACCATCTATGTGTGAGTGTGTTGAGAACACTTAAGATCTACTCTTAGGTATACAACACAGAATTGTTAACCATAATCACCAAATTGCAGATTAATCCCCAGAACTTAATCATCTGAAAGTTAGTACACTTTGATCAATGCTCCCCTAATCACTTTACTCCCTAGTCAACCATTGTTCTCATTCTATCAGCTAACTACTCTTTATTCCACATGACTGAAATTATATAGCATTTGTATTTTGGTTCCTGGTTTATTTCACTGAGCATAAGATTCTTCGGGTTCATCCATGTCACAAACAGCAGAATTTCCTTCTTACTTACGCTTGAGTAGTATTCTAGAGTCAGTATCTTATTTTCTGTACGCATTTATCTGTCAACAGATACTTAGGCTGCTTCCTTATCTCGTCTATTGGAATAATGCTTCAACAAATAGGAAGGATGAAAACTTCTCATCCATAGTGATATCACTTCCCTCAAAACATATACACCCAAGGAAGTCTGATAGTTAACAGAATAGCGTGGAGACCCTCCATATCATTTTAATAGTGACTACATAAATTTATGCTTCCACCAATAGTGCACAAATGTTGCCTTTTCTTCACAGTCTCTCCAACACCTACTGTTTCCTGTCTTTTTGAAGAAATTCTAACAAGAGTGAGGTGATGTCTCAAGGTAGGACTAATTTGCATTTCCTGAATATTAGTGATGCTGAGTACTTTTCATGTATTGTTGGCTATTTATAAGTGTTCTTTGGGGGAAAAAATAACTCTTTGGATCTTTTTCCACTTTTTAAATAGATGATTTAACAGATTATTTTGTGTTCAACACAGACCCTCTTCTCTTCTCTTCTCACCTTTGCTTTCTCTAAATGGGGAGAGAACAGACATGTTCCCAAAGATGAAGTTGACAAACACCTTGGGCATATCACAAATATTACCTTGTCTACTATAAATAATGTTGATGGTTACAGTGCTACAAATACAACTGCTCCTCTTCATTTTCCTAGTTTTCCCCTTTATGCCACTGAAAGAAACTAGCAGACTTTCTCCTAACTTCTTAACACTGCCTTCCTTTGTTAGGAATATTTCTCTGAGCACCTTGGGAGTGGGCAGGGGACTCATTAACTGAAGCATTTTGCCTCGAGTCTCTGCTTATTAAAGGCATCAGATGGATGATCAATAAGTCAGGCTATTTAGAAATGTCAGTCTGAATATTCCCAGGAAGGAGCAATTTGGTTATTAGTGGGCTAATGAATCCTGCGAACAGACACTGACTGCCATAGACTGGGTTTCTGCACAGGAGACTGGCTGGTGCCCATATCATATAGAAATAGTTTCGTGGGGCCTTTATCTAACTCTTATTTGCAGCTGCTCCTTCTCTACTATATATTTGCTTTGTCTCTGTGGACCTAATTACAGTGACTGTATGGTTTCTCGAATCCATCCAACTGCTGCCTCTGCACCTTTCAGTGGGGGGTGTCTGGCCAATGCAGACAAGATGGATATCTCACTTTCCTCGCTGACGGAAGGACACTGCGAATTAAAGCTGGGCAATCTGAATCTGACATCCAGGGCCACATGATCAGTTCAGCAGTGTTATTTCTGAGATGACATAGACTATTCACTAATCAGGGTAACAGCAGCTTCCTATATGCCTTCCTTGTCCCAGCGTTACCCTCTATAAACTTCATCTTGGACTGAATCTGCTTAATGCCAGGAAGGCACTGTCTTCGCCTCAATCCTCAGAGAACCCTTGCAAGAAGTCACATCATGTCTTCATTTTTCAGATCAGCACAGGGAGGCTTACAGACCTGACAGCATCGGCTTTGGGTAACACAGCTAGAAAGGTGCAAGCGCAGGGCAAAAAAAAAAAAAAAATCACGCTTGGCTGAAAATACACTGCTGGATGCCATCCCCTCCTTCCATTCCTTCAGTCAGCTAGCCAGCAATTGACCAGAGAAGCAACTCCACAGGCTGGGACTTCCCACACCTACAGGGACTCCAGTCTCATTTGAGCAGCACTACAATTAGACTGCTATTGTGACTTCCTGGCTGGAAATTCAGATTTTCTTGTGCCCACCAATCAAAAACTAGAATCCAAGTATTTGAGGGTAAATCAGCATCAGTCACAGCCACAGGTATATCTGGGGGGGGGGGGGGGGGGGGGAGGGAAGGTAGGAAGGGGTTGGGTGGGGCTGGTCCAGTACCCTGGGTTCTTACCATCTCCAGTTTTGCTGGTATTGGTGGGTTCAGGAGTACTCAGAGGCCGGAGGGGGATGATGATCTCATCCACATTCACCCCCTCCTCTGTGTGCTTCTCAGAAACATGGGAGAGGAGTTCCGACTGATTTGGTGAGAAAAGATTACAACATTTACACATGAAGATAGCTGTGCTTTCTGTAAGGAAAAAACAAAACAAAACAAAATGTTACTTATCATCATAAAAATAACAATGACCCTTGTCAAAGGAAAATACTGAAAGTGCCCTATTTATCATCACACTTTCCAAGAGACTGTCCCTCCTGTGGACAGCTCCATGGTCAGGCAGCTACACTCTACCTTCAGGAAATTCTTCCTGTAGTATTTCAAAATCTCAGTCCTGGTTGGCATCCAGCAAGGACTTATCACTTCTCTTGCCCACATCTCCTTAATAGCCTGGATCCCAGTATCGACACAGCCAAGAATAAAAAAAGAATATGGAACTTGAAAAGATTAATTCTAACCTTTAAATTAGAATTAAAGCATGAACTCCACCGACAGTAATTAAGTATTCTGGCTAGACTCTCTTGAGTTAGGTGCAAGGAAAAATTGATCAAAATGCCATTTCTCAAAAGCCAAAACACCTTTCACTGGTTGGCACAGGAACTAAGAACAAGGATAAGGTTCCTGCAGCTTTTATAAGAGTCACTTAATTTCTAATTAAAGCATTATCACTGTTCATAAATATTTACTAATAATTTACTGTGCTCAACCCATTATGCCAGAAAGGAAGACATTATGGGGGTGGGGGAGGGTATCCACTTCATTCTTAATTTTGATAATAAAATTATAAGCAAATATAGGAACATTAAATTTAGGATACAGCAACAAGATAACTTTTTTCTTTTCTACTTTTATACTGGAAGAAGAGATGACACTCTTGTTAAGATGATATCATGACTTTGTGGGTTTTTATCCATTTTTTTTTTAAAGAATCACCATGAGATACAGTTACAGACTTATAAACTTTCTTGATTTCGTTTCAGTCATACAATGTTCGAGTTCCCATCCCTTCACCAGTGCCCATTCTCCATCACCAATATTCCCAGTATCCCTCCTGCCACCCCCATCCCATTCCCCACACCCCCACCTCTATGGCAGGCACATTCCCTCTTACTCTCTCTCTCTCCTTTTGGGTATTATGGTTTGCAAAACAGGTACTAAGTGGTCATCATTTTTGGTCCATAGTCTACTTTCTGCATGCATATACCACCCCGAGGAAGCCTTCCAACCATTTACTCAGTGGTCCCTTCCAACCATTTACTTAGTGATCCCTTCTCTATTCCAGCTGCCTTTTCCCCCAGACATGAAATCAGTTTCCAAGTTGAGGCCCTTACCTCTACTATCCTTGGGTGTTAATTTTCTATTATGTTACTTTATATTCCACAAATGAGTACAGGCATTCTATCCCTCTCTTTCTGACTCATTTCACTAAGTAGGATACTCTCCATGTCCATCCACTTATATGCAAATTTCATGATTTAATCTTTTCTAACAGCTACATAGCATTCCATTGTGTAGATAAACCAAAGTTTCTTTAACCCGTCATCTGTTCTCAGGCACTCAGGTTTTTTCCAGATTCTGGCTATTGTAAACAGTGCTGTAATAAATACACAAGTGCAGATGCCATTTCTACTGTAGTTTTTTGCCCCCCCCCCCCCCCCGGGATATATTCCCAGAAGTGGTATTGCTGGGTCAAATGGGAGCTCAATTTCTAGTTTTTTGAGATAAGTCTATATTGTTTCCCAAAAGAGCTGGACCAGTCAGCATTCCCACCAGCAGTGAAAGAGTGTCCCCTTCTCCCCTCATCCACACCAACACTGGTTGCTTTTGTTCCTTTGGATCTGTGCCAGTCTCTGTGGTGTAAGACAATATCTCATTGTTGTTTTGATCTGTATCTCCCTGATGATTAGTGATGAGGAAAATTTTTTCATGTGCCTTTTGGCCATTCGGATTTCTTCTTTGAGAAAGTTTCTGACTTTGTGATTTTTAATTTTTTTTTTTTTACCTGCACTATGGGCTGAAGTGATAGCACAGCGGGTAGGGTGCTTGCCTTGCACATGGCCAACTGGGGTTCAATTCTTCCGCCCCTCTTGGAGAGCCCGGCAAGCTACTGAGAATATCTTGCCCACACGGCAAAGCCTGGCAAGCTCCCCACAGCGTATTCAATATGCCAAGAACAGTAACAAGTCTCACAATTTGTTGTGAGATGTTACTGGTGCCCCCTCGAGCAAATCGATGAACAATGGGAGGACAGTGTTACAGTGCTACAGTGCTGCCTGCACTATACGCACTTTATAAATTTTTCTTTTCTTGGTTTTGGGCATACACCTGACAGTGCTTACTCCTAGCTCTGTGCTCAGGGTTCCCTAGCAGGGCTCAGGAAACCATATGGGATACTGGAGACTAAACCCAAACTACTGTATGCAAGGTGAGCCTCCTCCCATTGTACCATCTCCGCAGTCCCAGTGTCATGACTTTGAAGCCAGGAAAACCCACACATAGCTGGATAACCTGAGAGAAACAGCAAAACTCTTCTGATTTCTGGAATTAAATCAGAAATAGGCACATCGCAGACTGTTCAGAAGCCACACCTATGACTCAGTCCATCTCCCCCAACTACTTACTATGTCCCTACACTCATGCCATTGAGCAACGGCAAATCTTGAGCCCCTCTGTACGGACCCCTCCCCACTCAGAACCACTAGCCTCCAGGGATTCACTGCCCTGGCACGCAAGCACACGCCGCTCTAGCCTGCTCACTGTGGACAGAGGGCGAGAGTTCACACCATGGGCCTCTCACCTCCAGCCTCACCCTTACTTTCAGCTCCAATTCTTGAAGCAGCCAGGGGATAGACAATCTTGCAAGTCTCCTCCAGCATGCCTGCCAAGCTGCCTGCCTCCTCACCATCATCGGTCTGAGGGCCGGTCTGAGGGCTGCCACAGCAAGTGTGGCCAGAACGAAAGGTCAGCAGCTCAAAGCACACAGACAATACTTTTTTTTTTTTTTTTTTTTTTTTTGCTTTTTGGGTTACACCCAGCGGTGCTCAGGGGTTACTCCTGGCTCTGCACTCAGGAATTACTCCTGGCAGTGCTCTGAGGACCATAAGGATGCTGGGGATCAAATCTGGGTTGGCCGCATGCAAGGGAAACACCCTACCCGCTGTACTATAGTTCCAGCCCCAAAGGCAGAATTTTTTGCCACAGATACTGTTCAGCAAAGTGGCTGGTTCATGGAGATAATACAAAACCTACCAACATCTGACCCCTCGTACTGCTTCTAAATTCTTTAGTGATATACACCCAAATGCCTGTACCTGGGAAGATGCTCCCATCGCCCGGGCCCTCAGCAAGGACAAAGGGCAGAATGGCATGTGTGCACCAAACCTTACATGCACAGTGACGTCGTCCCAGGAACCTCTGCAGCCTTGTGCAGATCAACTCTTCAGCACTCACCACTGTTCTTTCTCTGTGCCATTATTTCTCTCTTCTTAAAACAAAACTTCCCCTCCCAACACTCCCCCACCAAATTGCTCTCCTCTTTCATGCAGATAGAGTTGATGAGAGGGAAGGCAGCAGGCCGAGATGAAGTTACCACTAAGAGGATTGAGCCCACATGAGGCAGCAAAGTCCAAACAAAGCCCCCTCTGGACTCAAAGAAATGGTTTCTCTGTGAACAAGCAAACTCAAAAATGACCTCAGAGAATTCTTCCCCTCCAAACACAAGAAACAGAAATTTAACAAAGCAGAATACTGCTTCATCAATGAAAAACTCTCATGAATACTGTCAATTGATATCCACCCCCACCAGGAAATGTTTTATTCCTAAAGAACCCAAACTTCTGACCAAACAAGATTGCAGTAATTAGATTTTTCTGTATGTGAGGCCACATTCTTTTCATTGAGCTTCCTGCTGATCCTACCATGGGCCCCAAAGGAGTCTGCAACCCCCACCTCATAGTTGAGGATGCTCAGACTGAGAGCATATAAGCCCACCCACCCCCCATTGCTGGGGGAGCAGAGTCAGACACTATACTGCCTACTTCTGACATGAGCTATGTCTGACTACAGGCCATGAGCTGAGTTTCTCCCAACTGAAGCTCAAACACTTAGTCCTACCATCAATAATAACAGAAAAGTAAGCCATCACAGAGAACATAATCCCAAAATCATGCATGCATTTAGGCTTCTGCTGAGTTGTGGCCATGGGTGAGTCCCCGTGTGAGCAGTGGGATGAGAAAGATGGATCCCATTAGACAAAAATCTTCACAAAGAGTACCACCATTCATTCCACCAAGCAGAGACACATTACAGAGTGACTCTGTATCATAGGGCTCTTACTGAACTACTTCCAAGCAAACCCATAAGTATTCTTGGTTCCTGGTAATCAGTGAATTAGAAGGCAGTGAAAGGGGGCTTAGTTCTAAGACATGCATCACAAGTGGATGGGAAAAGCAGCCTGGGACTTGGCAAGGTTTCCGGAAAGTGGCTACAGACCCAGGCTGACCACCTATCCTATCACAAAGAAAATCACCCTCCTCCATGCCTGAGAAAAGTCCACTCGAGCCAAAGGAAGAAAGGGTCATGTGTTCGGCTCATGAGGGCCAGTGCAGGACACTGGTCTTTCTGGAATAATTAACTTCCTTTTGCTAAAAGGCTTCCAGGCCTTTAGGCAGAAAGCCACTGTCTGCACTAAGATCACAAAACCCATCGGCGGTTTAGTAAGCAGGAGGGCCGTGCTATTAAGGGAACATTAAAGGTCATTGAGGAATTGGGAAGATGTGTCCTGAGCCCTTGCCCATCTCTGGGCCCACACAGCAGCTTCCTTCATTGAATCGCCACAGAAGTGGCTTGAAGGTTTCTGAGGTGTCTCTCAGCACCAGCATGGTGTACAAGACCAGGTCTCCCCACAGCACGGTTTTGGAAGTTGAATGTGCCCAGGTGCCTGGGGAATGCCAGGGAAAGGGCCTTGCGACCACAAGTGTCAGAAGGGTTTACTTCAAAATCAACCAGAATGCAAACAAGAGATGTACATAAAAGGGTGCTCAATACCCCAATATGAATTTATGATAACAAGTTCCAGAATCACCACCTGCTCTGCAGTGGTCAAATAATGATCTATCCACACAGAAAAACTG